TGGCGTGACACAGCGGCGTCAGCTGCCTGCGGACCGAAGAAAAGTCTTGGTTTCAGTCACCGACAAAGAAAGATCAACTTAACTAATCCGGCTCCAAATTGGCGTGCATGCAGACCCCCACACTGGGGGGTAGGCTGCCTCATTCCCCCTCCCCAAGCTCATGCTTTACGCCAAACAAAACATGTTTCCTCTACGCAACAACCCCAATAATGCTCTCATAAGTAAGGGACGCGGTGGCTCAGCGGCTAAGACGTTGAGCTTGTTGATCAGAAAAGTCGGCAGTTCAGCGGTTCGAATCCCTGGTGCCGCGTAACGGGGTGAGCTCCCGTGACTTGTCCCAGCTTCTGCCAACCTAGCAGTTCGAAAGCAGGTAAAAAATGCAAGTAGAAAAATAGGGACCACCTTTGGTGGGAAGGGAACAGCATTCTCTGCGTCTTTGGCGTTGAGTCATGCCGGCCACATGACCACGGAGACGTCTTCGGACAGCGCTGGCTCTTCGGCTTTGAAACGGAGATGAGCACCGCCCCCTAGAGTCGGGAACGACTAGCACGTATGTGCGAGGGGAACCTTTAAGTAAGGAAGCTCCGGTGGCATTTTGTTTTGGCTGGCTGCAGAAAAATTGTATTCGATCATGGATAACTTTGAATGATAAATTTGAATGATAAATTTGAAAGGCAAGCCGGCTGAAAAAAGAAGGGGTGAATTAATTTCATTTTTGTCCGCTCTTAAAAGTTGTGTCAGGGGATTGTGTAGATTAGAACATGCAAACAACTTGCAGGCGATTTCTGGTTATATATGGCGTGAGGGTAAGGATGACTTAAACGGATCACTTTAATGGGCCACACTGTGGCCATCCAAAGCCACCCCATTCTTTTCACATCACGGCTCCGAATATTTGGGGGTCCCTTCTCCTCAATGAGTTCTGGAACCTTGCAAGAAATCTGGGGTTTGCCTCTTGCATTAACCACCGTCCCTCTGTGCGATCGCTTCAAATTACTGTTCAAATTACTGTTTTGTTATGTATTGTTATTGCACTACTTTTGAGTACAATGGGCCTTTTCACAGGGCCAATTCAAAAGTGGTGTGCTGTGCATGATGGGTTACTTTTAGAAAGCTGTTGGAGAGGGGGGTGGGGGTTTGAACTCTGCCCATTCTGGAAACATTCTGGTATTTTTTTGCACGGCTTGAGCCCCTGAAGGCTGGTTCTGACATGTGAATTTAATTCAGAATTTCCAAAATTCTGACCTGCACTTGACTTAACACTACCAGTCTTTGGGTCCCTGTCAGAAGTAGATCGGATACGAAGGACAATTTTAAAAGCCTGCGCGGATACGTTGAGACAGCTGGATCGATAATTCACGCATTAGCACACCCACGAGAGATATTTATCTCCTCTTTCTCTCTCTCTCTCTCTCTCTCTTTTCCTGCGTTTTTAGTCCTTTTGGTAGAACGAGTAAAATAATTATCGAGGGAGCGAATCCAACGAAGCTTTGCGTGGGTTCCCCCCCCCACACACACACCGTTGTTTTCAAAAATCTGGAACGCAGACAGGAAGTTGTAGAAAATGTAGTTCTGATCCCTTCGCGTCCCAAAAGAACAGGGTTTTTTTTCCTCTTTCCTGTTTGCTACCCCCCAAAAAGACGAACGTGCATGGCAGTTTTTAAAAAAGCCGTATATGCAGCTTTTGTGTGTGTGTCAATAGTTGCTGTATGTATTCATTTAATTCAGCTGTCCATCCTTCCGAGGTGGGTAAAATGAGGATCCCAGATTGTTGGGGGGCAATAAGCTGACTCTGTAAACCGCTTAGAGAGCGCTGCAAAGCACTGTGAAGAGGCATATAAGTCTAAGTGCTTGTTCTATCTATCTATCTATCTATCTATCCATCCATCCATCCATCTATATCGATCTATCTACCTCGCTAACTGCTTAGAGAGGGCTGTAAAAGCACTATGAAGCGGTATATAAGTCTAAGGGCTATTGCTATTTGTCCCTATGTCTGTCTGTCTACTATCTATCTATCTATCTATCTATCTATCTATCTATCTATCTATCTATCATCTATCTATCTATTCATCCATCCATCCATCCATCCATCTATATCGATCTATCTACCTCGCTAACTGCTTAGAGAGGGCTGTAAAAGCATTATGAAGCGGTATATAAGTCTAAGGGCTATTGCTATTTGTCTCTATGTCTGCCTGTCTATTATCTATCTATCTATCTATCTATCTATCTATCTATCTATCTATCTATCTATCTATCTATCTATCTATCCTGTCTATCTATCTATCTATTCATCCATCCATCCATCCATCTATATCGATCTATCTACCTCTCTAACTGCTTAGAGAGGGCTGTAAAAGCACTATGAAGCGGTATATAAGTCTAAGGGCTATTGCTATTTGTCTCTATGTTTGTCTATCTATTATCTATCTATCTATCTATCTATCTATCTATCTATCTATCTATCTATCTATCTATCATCTATCTATTTATCCATCCTGTCTATCTATCTATCTATTCATCCATCCATCCATCCATCCATCTCTATCGATCTATCTACCTCTCTAACTGCTTAGAGAGGGCTGTAAAAGCACTATGAAGTGGTATATAAATCTAAGTGCTATTGCTATTAAATTTGCTTTGGAAATGGAACTACAGGTTCTAGTTCCTGGCTGACACCGAACTTTAATTCTTTGCAAGGGTTTCCATGGTTTGTTGGGGGGGGCAGGTGGGGTTTAATTGTCTTTAGTTAGCGGAGAAGCAGGTTGGAGAGAGAAAATAAATTCAAAATAAACTCAGATTTTTTTTTTCGTTTTTTAAAAAAGAGTTTTGGATTTTTAATGGCCCGCAAAGACACCGAGAGTTACTTTTAAAGTTTTTTTTCTGTCTGGGCCTCTGACGCAGCTCAAACCTTCTGTGTTCAATTCTTCCTTCAAATTATAGCTCAACTTTTCCATCAGGTGTGTGTGTGGGGGGGGGGACATCCTCCTCCCACCCTCCTCATCCTCACCCCCAGGGCTCCCTCCTTCCCTCCCTTTAAGGAGTCTTTTACTTAGTTAATGGGCTGCTTTTTCATTCTGCAGAGGGGAATTCAAAGAAGGGAAGAGCCGGGGAGGTTTTGAATGAGCTTTTTTTTTTTTTTCCCCTATTGAGGCTGGAGTGGACTTGGGAGTTTGCAGCTGTGCCATGCCGCTGAAGAAGCTGAAGTGCGTTAAAACATTTTTTTTTTTTTTGCAAAGCGTTTCTTTTCTTCTCCGGGGTCTGGAAAGGGAGCGCCAAGTGGAAGATTGGCATGAGGCTCGGTGTATTTGTGTGTGTGTGTGTGTGAGACAGAGAGAGAATAACCGAAGATGCAAATGCATTAAACAGTGGCAGAAAGCAAGAGGCCTCTGTCCTTTTGGGGGCCTCCATCCCCCACCCCACCCCTCCCAGCTCACTTTGTAAAGGAAGCGAAGGTGAAGATGGGGGTCTCGCAGGGAGAGAGAGAGAGAGAGAGAGAGAGAGAGAGAGAGATCGTGCGCAAGGCAAAGGGCTTACACCATGCATGTCGGAATCTGGGTTTAAATGCCGTGTGTACGCGATGGGCTTGGATGGAGTAGGGAAAAGGTCTCTTGGGAGAAGGCGACGTGTATTATCTCCCTGACTTCTAAAGGCACCGGATCTGTCATTTATTTATTTATTTATTTTGTATCCCACTTTTATTTTATTTTAAAAAATAAATAACTCAAGGTTAATTCAAGGGGGTGAACGAATTGAGCTTTCCTTCTTCCTCCTCCGATCTTCCGCACAACAACAACACAGTGAGGTGGGCTGGACTGAGAGAGAGGGACCGGTCCAAAGTCACCCAGCTGGCTTTCTTACCTAAGGCGGGACTAGAACTCACAACCTCCTGGTGATTGGCCCAAAGTCACCCACCTGGCTTTCTTACCTAAGGCGGGACTAGAACTCACAACCTCCTGGTGATTGGCCCAAAGTCAGCCAGCTGGCTTTCTTACCTAAGGCGGGACTAGAACTCATAACCTCCTGGTGATTGGCCCAAAATCATTCACCTGGCTTTCTTACCTAAGGCGGGACTAGAACTCACAACCTCCTGGTGATTGGCCCAAAGTCACCCACCTGGCTTTCTTACCTAAGGCGGGACTAGAACTCATAACCTCCTGATGATTGGCCCAAAATCATTCACCTGGCTTTCTTACCTAAGGCGGGACTAGAACTCATAACCTCCTGGTGATTGGCCCAAAGTCACCCACCTGGCTTTCTTACCTAAGGCGGGACTAGAACTCATAACCTCCTGATGATTGGCCCAAAATCATTCACCTGGCTTTCTTACCTAAGGCGGGACTAGAACTCACAACCTCCTGGTGATTGGCCCAAAGTCACCCACCTGGCTTTCTTACCTAAGGCGGGACTAGAACTCACAACCTCCTGGTGATTGGCCCAAAATCATTCACCTGGCTTTCTTACCTAAGGCGGGACTAGAACTCACAACCTCCTGGTGATTGGCCCAAAGTCATCCACCTGGCTTTCTTGCTCTAAGGCAAGACTAGAACTCACAGTCTCCTGGTGACTGGCCCAAAATCACCCACCTGGCTTTCTTGCTCTAAGGCAAGACTAGAACTCACTTCTGGGCTGGGTGCTGAGTGGTGCCATGGACGGCTGCGCCCAAATATTTTCCTGATATCTCCCATGGTTGTTGAGGGGGAGGAGGATATTCTGCGAGCCCAGACAGGGGCTAACCAGAGTTGGTATTCCCTTCCCTTCCCTCCCAGTTCGCAAATGTGAGCGTACATGCTTGCTTCACTCGCACACGCCACCTCCACGCATGCACGCCGCCCTCCACCCATGTGCTGTGCTCGCGTGCGTGGCTTGCATGCATGTGCGCAGTTTCACAATGTGCCTAAATCGGGGCCCGTCTGCGATTTCTGCTACCGGTTCGGGCGAATTGGTACGAACCGGCTGAATGCTAACTCTCTCTTCTCCGTCTTGGTGCCCCCTAGCCCTGAGTTGCAATGAGAACGACGGCAGCCCCCTGGATCGAGACCAGCATTACCCCAGCAATCAAAAGACCAAACGCATGCGGACTTCCTTCAAACACCACCAGCTGCGGACAATGAAATCCTATTTTGCAATTAACCACAATCCGGATGCCAAGGACTTGAAGCAGCTCGCGCAAAAAACGGGATTAACCAAAAGAGTCCTCCAGGTAAGTGTTTTTTTTTTTTAGGGACTCAAACAGAGCAGCGGCCTTTGGCCAGAGCTGCAGGTGTCCCCCCCCCCTCGGTCGCAGGTACGATTCCCACCAAGCTGCCTGCCGTGATTCTCAACTCCTGAAGGGTGAACTTCAACTCCCGGAATTCCACGCTTGGCTTGGAGAATTCTGAGAGTTGGAGAGACATCTCAACCAAAGTTGGCTTCTGCTCTGAGCCCAGGGAGGATGGACAGGGGGGATATGATGGAAATATTGGCCTTGAGCTATCTCTGTCTCACCTGTCCAATGTTGGAGGGGGAAACAGCCATTGTCCTCACGGATACGATGAGCAAATGGGTTGGTCTTTAGATCGATCAACTCTCCTCTGTTGTGGTCTTGAAGGCTGCGCATTGCAAAATAGTTTTGTTGTTTTTGGAAAGCTAAGGACTTCCTTAATGCGATGTTAACAGCATAAGATAGATAGGTAGAAATCTTTATTGGCCGAGCGTGATTGGACACACACAAGGAATTTGTCTTTGGCGCATCTGCTCTCAGCAAGGGTGGGTTCTACTTACCTTTACTACCTGTTCGCAACGGGAGCTTCTGTGCATGCCCAGATCGCCCATTATGACGTCAGGGCAGGTGGACGGAGCTTCCCGCCACTTTTACAACCGGTTCTAAAGAACCGGACAGAACCGGGAGCAACTCACCGCTGGCTCTCAGTGTACATAAAAAGACAAGATACATGCGTCAAGAATCATACGGTACAACACTTAATGATAGTCATAGGGTACAAATAAGCAATCGAATCATACTAGGAGACAATCAATATAAATCATAAGGATACAAGCAACAAGGTTACAGTCATGCAGTCATAAGTGGGAGGAGATGGGAGATAGGAACGATGAGAAGATTAATAGTAATAGTAATGCAGACTTAGTGAATAGTTTGACAGTGTTGAGGGAATTATTTGTTTAGCAGAGTGATGGCATTGGGGAAAAAACTGTCCTTGTGTCTAGTTGGTCTGGTGTGCAATGCTCTATAGCGTCGTTTTGAGGGTAGGAGTTGAAACAGTTTATGTCCAGGATGCAAGGGGTCTTTAAATGTTTTCCCAGCCCTCTTTTTGACTCGTGCAGTATACAGGTCCTCCAAGGAAGGCAGGTTGGCAGCCATTGTTTTTTCTGCAGTTCTAATAACTTCCCGAGTGGGAAGAGAGCTTGGAGATCTTCTAGTCCACCCCGTTTCTCAGGCAGGAACCCTATCATCATCTTCTCCTCTTCTGGTGAACACCCAACAGCTTTGGCCTCTGACTAACATCAGAGGGGGTGTGTATCTACGTTACACACATTTTTCAGAACCAAGATTAAACGGGTTACATCCGCCCGTTGCACTGAGCTCTGGTTCATTAAACTGCAACTTGCTGAATGGCTTTTCGTAGCTGAACTCACGTGGTGGATGGTTCAAGCATGGTTTATATAAGTTAGATGGCAGTTTGTTTAGTCTGGGCCAGGGGTCAGCAACCTGCAGCTCCGGAGCCACATGCGGCTCTTTGGGCCCTCTGCTGTGGCTCCCTGTCAGGTGATCCCACCACTGGCTGGCCCCGCCCCTCACCCTCCCCTCCCAATCACTCCTCGCCTGGCCTGAGAAGTGGGGGATGGAGAAGCGGCCAGGGCAGAGACAGGAAGATACAGAGAGAGGGGGAGAGAGAGAGAGACATAGAAAGATACAGAGAGAGAGAGAGGGAGAGAGGGGAGAGAAATATGTCAAAAGGATTTTGTGGTTCCCGCTGTTTTTTAACAACTGGTTCTCTGCTCTAATGACCGTCTGGGTAGGTGTGGCTAGGGGGGGAGGTCATGTGACTGGCGGAAGTGAGTGACATCGAGTTGGCCACGCCCACCCAGGTTTTGTGGCTCCCGGTGTTTTCTTTTCTGTGGGAAACGGGTCCAAATGGCTCTTTGAGTATTTAAGGTTGCAGATCCCTGGTGTGGGTTTAGCAGGATCCCTGAACCTAGCTAGTCACGGTGGTTTATAAATCAGGATTTAGTGTTAACCTGAATGCCAGCAGATGCGGCTTGCTGGACAAAGCTACGGGTAAACCAACTTCCCGTTGAACGTGAAAACTGGTCATGAAATGATCAGCTGGCCTGAGACTGCTCTTTTAAAAAGAAGCACGAAAGAAACTCACGGATTTGTAGGATTGTTCCAAGTTTGTTCCAGATAAGAGGACAAAACAAAACAAAATAAAAAAACCCCAATGGATTTAAATTTAATTTTGACTGGGCATCAGGAAGAACTTTCGGCAGTGAAAAGCTGCCCCAACAGTGGAGTAAACGACCTGGAGAAAGAAGAGAAAAATATTGCTGGAGATGTTGAAATAGGAGTTCTTTTCGGAGGTCCTGTGACTGGTTTTGTCTAGTTTTTGGGGGGTGTTTGTTGATGGAAACAATGAAGTTGCCCAGGAACAAGGGACTACTGGACATTAAACCAGACGGATATACAGTAGACTCTCTGGTCACGACCATAATTAATTCCATAACTGCATATCGGACATAAATACAATCAAGAGAGTCCAGAGATATTTTATGAGAAGAGTCCTCCATTCCTCTAACCCAGGAGTCAGCAACCTGCGGCTCCGGAGCCTCATGTGGCTTTTTTGTCCCCCTGCTGTGGCTCCTTGTTGGCTGAACATCACTGGCTGGCCCCACCCCTCACCCTCCCCTCCCAGTCACTCCTCACCTGGCCTAAGAAGGTAAGGGTGATAGTGGGGGATGGAGACTTGCTCCATATTCAAGAATGGGAGCAAAGCGCCCCTGTACTTGCTGATTATATATAGTCAAATGCTGCTGACTCTTTTTTATGGTATAAAGAATATATATAATACATACTATATATATGTGTATATATACATACACATACACATACACACACACACACACACACACACACACACACACACACACATATATATATATATATATGTTTCTTTTAGCCAGGTTTTTCCTACGTAACCAATATTTTTCTGCAGCCCTAGCTCAGTGGAGTCACATCCACTGGAGTCTCTCACTAAGCAGCATAGGGCCTGCTGGCTGCCAGAAGAAAAAAAGCCCAGAATCGAGTGGATGTGACTCCACTGAGCTAGGGCTGCAGAAAAATCTTGGTTAGGAAAAACCTGGCTAAAAGAAAAACACACATAAAACCTACAAAAAGTAACTACCCTTTTAAGGATATGTTTACAATTACACGGGAAGAAACCCGAGATATTAACTGTACACACACACACACACACGCATATATATATATAACTATTCTAAAAATACGAGTTCCAGGTATATTAGTAAAAAAAGAAACAGACATACTGCGAAGTCCGGAACTTAAGATTTTAAAATTTTAAAAGAATTAATTCTTTTAAAATGTTAAAATCTTAAGTTCTGGAGTTCGCAGTATGTCTGTTTCTTTTTTTACATGTGTGTGTGTGTGTGTGTGTGTGTGTGTGTGTGTGTGTGTGTGTGTAAAAAAAGAAACAGACATACTGCGAAGTCCGGAACTTTTGTGGTTCCCGGTGTTTTCTTTTCTGTGGGAAACCGGTCCAAATGGCTCTTTGAGTATTTAACGTTGCAGACCCCTGCTCCAACCGCAATAAAAATCTCTTATGCCACCAGATTCCAAATTTTGGGCTTAGACAACTTAGAACTACGCCGACTTCAGTCTGACCTAAGCATAGTACATAAAATTATCTGCCACAACGTCCTACCTGTCAATGACTACTTCAATACACGAGCAAACAATAGATACAAACTCAAGGTAAACCGTTCCAAACTCGATTGCAGAAAATACAACTTCAGCCACAGAGTTGTCAATGCCTGGAATGCACTACCTGACTCTGTGGTTTCTTCCCCAAACCCCCAAAACTTTAACCTTAAACAGTCTACTGTTGACCTCACCCAGTGGTGGGATTCAAATAATTTAACAACTGGTTGTCTGCCCTAATGACCACCTGAGTAGGCATGGCTCGGTGGTCATGTGACCATGTGCCAATTCAATGTCACTGACGTCGATGGGCACTTCACCTTACTGTTACAATGTAATAAGGGTTAAACCAGAGAGGCAGTTTCTGTAAGCAGGGCAATAAAGATTAGGCTAGAAACACCAGCAGAATGTTTCCTTCCTGCCTTCCTTACAGGATTAGCTCTGTAAAATGGAAAAAACCAAAATAAGATTTCTTCCAACAACTGGTTCTCTGAACTGCTTAGAAAGTTAACAACCGGTTCTCCCGAATAGGTGCGAACTGGCTGAATCCCACCACTAACCTTCACCCCATTCCTAAGAGGTCTGTAAGGGGGCATGCATAAGCGCACCGGCGTGCCTACCGTCCCTGTCCTAATATTCCTTTTTACTTACTCTTTTCATCTATTCAAATTATGTTTTACCTGTTATCTGATATATGCTTGACAAATAAACTTATGACTATGATTATGATTAACTTCAGTCACAAACCGATTTGGTTGTGACCAGGGGCGGGTTCCAAATCCCATCGCTACCAGTTTGCTCGGGGTGTGCGCATGCTTGCGGGAAGGTGGGCGGAGCCTCCTACCACCACCGCTACGAGTTCGCCTGATCCAGTGCGAACCCATAGCAACCCACCACTGGTCGTGACCCGAACCTAATTTTGGAAATTTGGCTCTTACAAAACAAAACAAAATGGTGTGGAAAGGGAAATCGGCTGTGGGGGGAAAAAATGTGAATTTTTTGGTCAGAACCTGGTTTGGTTGTGGTCAGAAGCATTCGTGACCAGAGGTTCTACTGTAGTCTGTTGAATTCTGAAACGTTTTGATGATCATCATCTGACCAACGATGGTGAATCCCGGAAAGATGAGAACCTCAAAACCTTAACGGTGGCGGAGAAGTTGGGATGTTACCCCATGGCTTCTCCAAGTGATAATTTTGGAGACAAATAGTTTTTCCACCTTGGCTAAGAAGTCCCTCAAAGACAAAGATTTCCAAATCCATTCTGAATT